AAAGGACAGCAGCTTGTCTGTTCCCCTTCCCCGATTCCCCAACACTGTTCTCCTCCCCCAATTCCCCAATAAAATCGTTAAAAAAAAAAAAAAGATATAGGGTCAAAGAATCTTTCATTTTGTGTAGCTAACAATACAAACAAATGTCTCCACGGGACTGTATGTATATAATGTTAAATGCTTCAAAAACCTTGAAAATATTTGGAGCAATAGTTCAGTCTTCTTTCTCTCTCCCTATACATTCACATATACACACACATCACATACTTAACCATATGTAACACATTCACAAAAATTTAGGCCTTCATACCTTCTTCATTTTGGCAATTAAAAATCAACAAAATGATAATGTTATGCAGTAATATATGAGCCTTAAAAAGACATCTTATCTAATCATGTCTCCAAATGGTGAATTCTAAAAAAGCAATCCAGAAGATGGAAGATGGGAAGCCTGTGCCTACCACCAACACCACCAAAGTCACAAGTATTTTAACTAGAAAGGAAAATTGTCAACTTGTCCTTTCCTTTTGAGCATTTTTTCAGCACAGCTTGGAGAAAATGAATGCTGCTAACATGACAGACTGAAAATGCCCCTTTATGTATCCCCATAAGCTAAGCCCAGTGAAAATCGTAGACTACCAGCATCATCTATTCTCTTGACCGGAGGCCACACTGTTACCTCAAAGCTTCCGATAAATATACTGTTGCTTCTTCCCAGAAAAGGATTAAAGATCCCTACCACTCTATAAGAGAAACTAAATTTAATTAACATTCCATGAATAGAAATGTTAAAATTATTAAAATATATTAATAAACAAATACTGAATATTAAAAATAATTTTCATTACAAAGTTTTAAAATTATGCCATCATATAATCATGTATCATAAAATTTTCTGAGAAATAAAAAAAAACTGAAAGGCAGACAAATCGAATTAACCCCCTGAAAACACTAACTATTCTGATTGTACAAATCTTCATGGCTTCCTTTAGCTAATAAATCAGCAATCCAGTATCCATTATTTGCAGCACAAAATTTTAAATCTTTGGGTTAAAACCAACATCATCTTTAAGGGCTAAGACTTTAATAAAATAATCTAGCTACATTATAAGAAATTTATTTTATAAAATCCTAGACAGCATAGTAAACATTCCTAATTAACTGGTATTTAACTGACTAGTTTTCATTTTATAACTCAAGACACATGCAAATTATTGCCAAGCTTTAGGTATAAGCTCTCTTTTAATAATTCTAATCAATTAGCAAAATTTTAATATTTCAAATCCCTATCTTGGAGGTAAAGTACAAAGGAAATTAACTGAAATTTGAATTGAGAGTCCAAAAAGCCTAAACAGGAATTATATCTTACAAAATCAAGGGTACCCTGTTCCATGTCATCCAGTCACAAAGATGAAATCCCAGCATTTAATTTGAAGAACTATCTTTATTCTCATACATTTAGAAATGATTAATAGGAAAGGCAAAATATGAATACTCAATACTGTCCAGCAATTATTCAAGGTTCATTTAGTAAATTAGTTGCCCAACTCTCTGGAAGCCTATTTCCCACCTTTTCTTCTTTCCTTAAATTTCATAACCTTCCTGTCCTCCCCAGCTCTCAACATCTAGTAACAATGAGAAGCCTGATTATCACCAGCGACTCATCTCTTCTTGCCACCTGCGCATCTACAGACTCACCCACGCTTGTACCTTCACTCTAGTGATAGAAGTCTCTGCTCCTAAAGGGCCTCTCCGTGAAATCTGGATCCCAACCCTTCTCATCTTCTCATCGACTTTACTTTATCTTTCTGATAACTGTCAGTTACTCTGTTCTGGAACATTCTAAAAGCAAACAATCATGCTTCTTATTTTTTGGAGGTGGGGACAACACTTTCCTAGGCCCAACACCCATTTGTGGACCTTTTGCTTTTGTAAAGAATTGGGTACAGTGACTGCCTGCACTTTCTCACCTTGAATTCACTTCATTTTTTAATTAAGTTTTTCCCAATGCAGACTATATGCAATCTATTTACATTATAAAGCATATTATATTGAACATCCATAAATCCGCCACCTAAACCAGGAAATTAGAATATTACCACTGAGTAGCATACACCTTGTACTCTATACCCACCCTATCCAGTGGGCCTCAATACCCACCAGAGATTAAGTACTGACTTGATGTCGCTTTTGTCATTCCATTGCCTTCTGAATTAAGTTTTCACTATTTTTGTATACTTAAACAAGGTATTTACTTCTGCTTATTTTTAAACTTTATGAAATAGATTCTAAGAATAGTTGTTTTCGCTCAACGTTCTAGCTAGATTCATCCACGTTTTTGAATGTTAACTGTGGTTCATTCATTTCCACTGCTGCACAATACTCTATGTATGACTACACCACTAACTTTTGTCCTATTAATTAACATTTGGATAATATCCAGTTTTATAGTTTTCAGAGAAAGTGCTGCAGTGAACATTCTCGCATACACTCCTGAGCCATATGGGAAGTTTCTCCCGAGTATATACCTAAAAGTGGAATACGATGTAGACTACCATGCAAATGTTAAAATTACTACATAATTTCAGTGAATTTGATCTACTTCATATCTGTAAGAATTGATTCATATCCTCCAGAACACCTGGCATTGTCAAATTTCCTAATTTTTGCTAATCTAATGGATGGGTAAAAAATGGTACTTCCTTGTGATCTTAAAGTACATTTATAACTCAAAAATATTCCCCAAACTGTTTCCTTTTCTTAATCTTCACTATCATCCCCTAGTCCAACAACTGACTCAGCCCCCTGCCCCCTTTTAATTTTAGTCTCTTGCCAATTTAATCTCCATAAAACAGCTAGGGTGGTCTTTTTAAAATGTGTGTCAAACCAATTATTTCTCCACTTAAAATCTCGCTGATCGCTAAATAAATTCCAGATGCTTTATGTCCTGCAGTCTGGTTCCTGCCCACTTCATCTCCTATCACTCTTTACTCGTTTGCTTCAGCCCCACTACCTTCATACATGCCAGGCCCTTTCCTTTTCAATACCTCTGCTCTTACCTTTCCTTTTGCCTAGAAAGCTCTTCTTCAACTGCTAATTCTCTTTTAGATCCCAGCTCAAAAGTCAATTCCTAAGAGAAGTCCTCCCTGATGGTTCTGATTAATGTAGTTACTTTCTGTCACATTAGTGTTTTATTTCCTTCACAGTAATCACCACAGTTTGTCATTTATCATGTTTGTATCTTGTTATTATCAGCCCCTCACACCACAATGTGAGCTTCACATGGAAATCTTATTTATCGTGTTCACTGATATAATCCCAGGATCCAGCACAATGTTTGGCACATATTAAATGCTCAATGAATATTTGTTGAATAACTACTATCACAAATTACAAGGGAAACACTTAATAACACTTAGTAAATTAAGTAATGGTGATTAAAGATGATCGAACATAAATCAGGAAGAGCACAAAACTCCACCTTCAACCTACCACTGTCAAAACCAATTATGTTTATAAATTTCTTTCTTTACAGATTTTCTAATATATTTTACTCCCAGATTTTCTTATTGAATTAATCTCAAGCTAGAAATTTACATCTTTTGAGAAGTACAAAATTTATTGTTAGTTCAAGGTAAAATAGATTTTTTTCCTAAGAAAACATATTCACCAAAATAGAACCCATGAGAAGACTAAAAATTAGAATCAACCAATTACCATAGAAAAAGATTAAAACTATTAAAGAGCTACTCCCTCACAATAAAACACAGTCTAGAAGGTTTCACAAGCAAATGCTAACAATTTTTGAAAGAATAAATAAGCTATATAAAAACAAAAGAAATCAAAACCAAAAAAAGGATACACATTCTTTTAGTAAAGCAAGTATCAAACTGTTATTGAGACAGGAAACTAGATAACTCACACCACGGGTCTCAATATAAAAATCCTACATAAAATATCAGCAAACAGAATCTCGCAGTTCACTGAAACAAGAATAAACCATAACTATGTGATCATGTTGGGTTTATTTCAAGAAGCAAAGGCAGTTAAATATCAGAAAATCTAGTAACAAAATTATTCCTTATGATTATTAGGTAAAAAGGGAAAAATCATTATGATCATTTCCACTGATGCTAAAAAGACTGATAAAATTCAACAAACATTCTTGCTAGAAATCTATAAACTAATAATGGGAATATTTCTTAGTGTGATTTAAGTGTGTGTGTGTGTGTGTGTGTGTGTGTGTGTGTGTATGAAGTCAATCTAAAAGCCAGAATCATTCTTACTGGGGAAATACTAGAGCAACGGTTGGTATGGCCCATAGGTCATTTGTAGCCTGTCACCTGTTTTTATAAATAAAATTTTATTGGAAGACAGACACACCCATTCACTTACATATCTGTCTACAGCTACTTTTATAATACAATGGCAGAATTGAGTAGCAGCAGTACAGACTAGCACACAAGACTGAAAATATTTACTACGTGGCCCTTCACAGGATAAATCTGACAACCCCTGTACTAGAGCATTCCTATTAAAGTCAGGAAAAGATGAAGATGTTTACCATCAATCACTGATTTCTGGAGATCTCACCTAATGTAATTAGACATTCAACTAATACTCAATTTCTGAAAATGCCTCCATTTCTGTGAATACATCACTGATTTCCCTGAGGCTGCCCCTTCTCCCCTGACATTATCTCTACTCTATAGCAACAATAGCTCATACCTACCTCAACCAGAGGGATCTTTTAAATGACCACGTTTCCCTTAATAAAGCAAAGTGAAACACATACTGTATCTCAATAGGCGATACTGAAATTACCAGTATTTTCAATTCATCTTTGTAAAATACAAAAACATAACGAAAAAAATCAGTAAGACCTACTGACCCTACACAGGGCTTATAAATGCAATTAGTAGCATTCCCAACATTTAAATGTGATATATAGTACTCTTGTACATACATACAAAAATAATAAATCTCACTGTCACACATACCCTTCCTGAAGAGATAATTCTTGGTTTTCTTCAGGACCACTGCTATCACTCCGTAGTTCAGGTTCATTCTCATCTTTTCCTGGCAGAGTCTCCCAGCTTTCATCACTTGAGGACTGATCTTTTTCTGTACCAGAAAATCGATGAGGCAAAGAAGCAGACCATTCTCCATCACTACATTCTGAACTAAAAATGTAGAACAGAAATAAAATAAGCCCTCATTACAGGTGCATTTATCATTTGGAGTGTTAACCAGGCATCATGATATAGACTACTGATGTCACATGCGTCATCAAGTGCCAATTCAACTTTTAAAATATTTAAAAATAAATATATTCCATAGAATGTAACTTTTTCAAATGGATACAGCATATGGGAAATAATGGAATTGTCAATTTATTGTTTTCTTCACTAATGTAAAGAATTCCGTGGTGCTTAGATACAGGTTCTTCATATTTTAGACATATTTCTAAATAAAGTTTTAAATATAACTTGGTAATTATAAATTAAATGCTATCTAGAATAAATAATAATAGATTTATTATTCATCTGGCCTGGCGAAAACAACATTCTGATTACATAACAGACAGCTAATGAAATGTCCTTTATGAATAAATTTCCACTGTTACCATGTTTTAAAACCTTAATTATTTTTTTCTTCCTTTTCCATAAAAGACTTTAAAATAGAGAGAGATACAAATTCATACAAAGCAGCACTGACGAATCTTTACTGGAGTCCTTTCGTAGGACTGTGAACAACAATAAACTTCAATTCAAGTGAATGTTTAGATAAGAAACCAAAAGTATGATAAAGGGTTTATATGGAACCTCAGAAAATTACTTTGGGTTATATTTAACTTGATTAATTTGGTTACACTGAACTACTCTTAAAGCTACTCTTAATCATCTTATAGTAACAAAGGCAAAAATATTACTGGTCAATACTGAACATAAATCTTTTTTTTTTTTTTAAACTTTATTGGGGAACTGTGCTTTTCCAGGACCCATCAGCTCCAAGTCAAGTCATTGTTTTCAGTTTAGTTGTGGAGGGCGCAGCTCACTGGTCCATGTGGGAATCGAACTGGCAACCCCGGCGTTAAGATCCTACACTCTAACCACCTGAGCCAACCAGCCACCCCAAAAATAAACCTTAAATGCCCCTTCCAACCATATCAACCATTCTGGTCAAGAACCCTTTAAAGATTTCCCTTTGTGCATTGACTTTTGAGAAACCAAAAAAATAACAAATTTTAGTTTATGTTTTTGAAAGGAAATGATAATTGGTTAGGAAATTTCTTTTCTTTATTATGTTAATGTATTATTAATATCTAGACTAGTTATTGAGTTCCTCTTTCTATAGTTAGATGAACCCAAGAGATCAAGATGTTATTAAATTAACAAAGAGCTCTGAGATGTTAGAAGAAGTAAAATCAACATCTAATTTTCAGTTTGGGTAGCAGGGCATAAACATCCTGGAGAAGGAATGCAATATATAGTGTTAGCATAGCAAGTAAAAGGTGTTCCTTCAGCTGGGTATGAGCCCAAGTTGCTCATATTCTGCAAAATTTTCTGTGACCCAAAGATTAATCTAAGATCAAGTAAATTATTCGGCTTCTATCAGTGTCAAAATCTAACACAGAAAATAATTTTAAAGGCGCTTACTGAGCTAAGTTTCCTTGACTATGAAGCTTCTCAAATAATCAAAGCTGAATCACCAACTCCAATTTTCATGTCTTTAACAATTAGGGTAGATTTTATATTAATTTGTAGCAACTTTTAACATACTAAAGAAAAGCTCATTTTTAAAACATTTCACTGAGAATATGATCCTGTTCAGAAAGGTAATGTATGAAACTTCTAAACTTTTCTGGATTAATGAAATAATTAATGGAATATCTCTAAATTTTAATATAAAATTTATCTTAATTTTATGTCTATCATCAATAGTCAATATCTTTAAGAAGCCTATTTCAAGGATTGGCAAACTACAACCTTTTGGCCAAATCTCAGGCCCTGCTGCCTTTTTTTTATGGTCTGTGAACTAAAAATGATTTTTAATTTTGCCTCTTGGCAGCAAAACCTAAAATATTTACTAACTGGCCTGGCTGTTTAAGAAAAATTTTGCAGACCCCTGGCCTATATCATTATTACTCATTAAACATAACCCTCACCTCTAAGAAGATAATTTTTAAATATACAGGGGGTGCCAAACAAATGTATACACATTTTAAGAAAGAACGAAACTATTAAAATTGTAATACTCAATATATACAGATAATAAAAGATGAATACAAGTCATGTGTATACATTTGTTTGGCACCCCCAGTATATGCCAGCCCTGACTACCATATTAAGCTTTCATAATTACTAACTGCCCAGCAAACATATTTGGATTTTCACCCTCCTTTTCGAAAGTTATATTTTCTAAAACAAAATTCATTTGCCAGTAACTTCCTTTCTTCATTTTTCTATCTGCTAATCATATTACCCTGCTCTAAAGCTGGAAAGCACATATCTTTGAGTCTTCACAAAGTCCTTATGTTTAAGTCCTTTCTTACTTTCCATTTCTTCTGTTCTTATATCCAAGCTTCTTTTTTCTCTGTCTCTCCTAAAAATCCCTCTTTCAAGTGCTTTTTTCCAAACCTAGACTTAGCTTGTTAATTGGTGTCCATAAATTTAATCCCACTCCCTGGACTCACTTAAAAAAATGCATTCTGAGTATCACTATCACTTCGATTTATATCAAAGAGTACATTTATAATAGTACTGCAAAAAACCTTCCCCAGTTCTTTCCTCCTAAAGCAGTATTTCACAAGCTTAAGCCATGTGCCTGCAGCCCTCACAATTTCTGCTACAATTGTGCATGAGTACCGTGTCCTAAGGTGCCTGGTAGTTGGGAACACAGGTTCTGGAGCTAGCCTGCCTGGACTTGAATAAAGCAATTATGAACCGTGAAAAAGTTACTTAACTTCTCTGGGCCCTTATGGCTTTACATATCAGGTGAATATAATAAGAGGATCTAACAGCTCACTGAGTTCCTGTAATGAGTAAATGGGTTAATATATGGAAAACATTATAAATATTAAAACATAACATTTGCTACACAGCTGTTTGTAAATATTTTTAACATATTTTTTCACTCAAATACATTTAGTTATCTCCTAAGCAATATCCATAAAATTCCAAATTGAAGAGCTAGCTATATTTTTTCTGATTCCCATTAAAATAAATATATTATGATCAAAATTAATAACACCTATGTGCCACTTAGTATTATTTCACCCACTTTGGAAAATTCTGGTCTATAAAAAAAATTTAAACTTTGAATGGCATTTGTGATTTAATACAATGATCACAGTTACTAGTACGCTCTTACATCCAGCTTTTCTGTTACATGAATACTCTATTCCAAATACCATCCCTAAAGTGTGAACTGTCGCTACAACCATTATTCCCACCATCAAAAATGTCTCCACAATCACTTCATCTTTTTTCCCCTTCAGACCCAGGTCATTACTTTAAGACCCTCACCTATAAAATGTATTCTTTTGTTTTTCAATTAATTCATAGACTAGACTTCTTGTTTATTTAATCACACTCACTATGGCACAACTGCTTAACAGTGCATTTAAAGGTACTTTTCTTAAGTGCAAAATTAGTTTCTTTAATAATTACCAGAAAAGTGTCCAAGGAGATCAGCCTGAATGGTGAAAAGTACTTGTAAGCTCTTAGAATTTAACTAAGGCTGCAATCGCATAACTTTAAGTAGAGAACTTTTAGTGATATTTGAAAAGGGCCAACAAATAATCCTCTTTAAAGTATGTTCCAAAAATTAACACACATTTGTGATATAAAGTAACATATGAATGATTTCCTATTAATGTTTCATTCTGAACATTATTATCTGTGATAAATTTCAAACAATGTCTATTACCAATTTATAGTTCTAAAAGTTCAAATTGATTCATAGGGCTAGTCAGAGGAGACTATGCAAAGATGATTAAGATTTTTTACTATAAAAACCAAAAAAACCTACCACAGGCAATCTCCTTACTGAAGAAACAAAGCATTATATTTATATATTTAACATCAGGTGAAAGGTCCATTTATGACAGCCTTTCTTTCACCCCTGGTGGTTGAATGTCACATTGGTTAAGAGTAAGCTTTGAAGTCAGACTGATTTGGGTTAGGATCCTGGCTCGGTACTTACTAGTGACACAAGCCTTGGGCATTTAACTTCCCTAAGCTCACTTTTCCTCATCTGTAAAATGAGAATATTAATATTTACTTTTCAGGTCTACAATGATGTTTAAATGAATATTACAGATAAAATTTTAAAATTTCCAAAATTTTTCCAAATTTTTGGAAAAACCACTCAATAAAAGTAGCAGTTACTTCTTTCATTATATGAGCTGTTTGTTTAGACACTTTAATTGGATTTCCTACCAACTACCACCATTTTCCTCTTTTCTCTACCAAAGAAAATCCAGTCTACTTCCTCTGGCTTGGTCTTAATGAACGGCAAATATCAGCCATTGGGTTATCCAATTAGCTTTGAAAGTCTTAGTCTGTCTTTATGTCAGAGGTCAGTAAATTATGCCCTGGCCCAGAGGCTAAATCTTGTCAATCATTCTGTCCATTTTTCACGAGCTAGAAGCTAAGAATGTTTTTTTTTTTCCTTTTTACATTTTTAAATGGTTGCATAAGTAGCTACAGAATATCCTTGGTTTTGTCTTTTGGTTCACAAAGTCTAAAATATTCACTATCTGGTCACCCCTTTATAAAGTTTGCAGACCCCTGGGATCCAGAAGGACTCAGCAAAGAAGAATCCAACATAGGTCAATGGAAGAGAAACCATGACGCAGGAAAGAGTGAGCAAACAGCTCAATAGTAGCAATGAAGTCAAAGAAAATAGGCACTGAGAAAAGTCAACTGGCTATGGAAACTAGAAGGTCACTGTTAGCATTCGACAACAGAGAAATCATACTGAGAGTTAGATTTGGAGCCATTTTAAAAAGGTGGATAGTGACAGAAGCAGTGGGTATGGAACATTTATTCTGAAACTTCAGCAGTGAAATAGAAACATAAACAGGCAAACAGTTAATGGAGCAAAATCAAGTAAAGGTTTCCCCCAGGATTTAGAAAAATTAGAAAATGAGAGGTAGAGGGAAGCAACCTTAGGAATA